TACGGATAACGGGCTTAATGTGATTGTGCCAAAATGAAAAGGACTCAAAAAGAGATTTGAAAGTAGGCCTAGGTACAGTAGGGTAGTATGGATTGATTTGTGTAAGAACAAAACTTATGTCCGTGTTTACGGAGAAGTGCCATTTTGATACCCGTGGTTCACTGAGTCATCACTTATCGCTTCATCCTAGCTTGAACTTATAAGACCTTATTTGCCCAGATAATTTATGGATATCACCCTGTTTTCTATCATGATGTTTTGCTTGAGGACAAGCAAAGATTTTAGTGTGGGAGAATTTGATATACCTAAAATATACTGTTTAATTGACTCGATTTGCGCACTTTATTTTGGACTTTTATTTCCCTTTTCTTGTATTATGCCTTTGTTTTGTTTCTTTTTCAGGTTTTTGTATTTTCAAAGCTACTCGAGAAGAAATGAAGAAAAACGAGCTAAAAGACCTACATTCTGAGGAATTGTACACATGGCTTCCACCACAGCGGGCGCCATAGAAGATGCCACACATTGGATAGAAGACAACTGCTGATAACTGCCACGTATCCCACTCCTTTTCACCCTAGTTCATGTGGCGGGCGCCACAAAGAGGTGGCGGGCGCCACAAAAAGGTGGCGGGCGCCACCTTCACAAACTCGATTCCCTCCCAAAAGGAGTTGGGGGGCATTCTTGTCCTTACCTGTACTTCCCTACCACTATAAATAGATGAGTTATGTTTCATTTCTAATCATCCAAGCTTAGTTACAGAACTCAAGCCATAAATTTCACCTATTGTAAAGTTATAAACTTCTCACATCGAGGGGTTATCACATTGTTTAATCGAGTCTGTAATCGGGTTTGGAGCACTTGGGTAGAAGTTAATCCTGCCGCCGTTTTATGTCTGTCATTTACTTCCAGTTGTACAAGATTTTAAAGCCTCTCGTTTAGATCAGGTTTCTGTCTATTTATCGCCCGTTTATTTATCCGTTGTTATTTCCCACACCGCTTTTATTTCTCGCACCGTTTATTTATCGCACCTTTACCGCACTTTATTTATTTACCCACACTTTATTTACTCGCATTTATTTACCATGTTTATTTACTTTACCATGTCCGGATAAATCTTAAAGGCTAGGATGCAAGGATTGTAGTTATAATAGTATTCCATACGGCTGTCGATAGAATTACTTAGAGGTAATTTTAACTTTTAACACTTATTTTCTGTACTTAAAATATGTTGGATAAGATCGAAAGCCATCCAACCTTTAGATAAATTTGGTTAGTTTTAACTGATCCAAGGAAGCGAAAGTGCTTGACTCAGTTAATTAGGAATCTTTAATGTTTAAGAAAACCGATTTTAAAACTGTTATCGGACGCGTTTATGGATTTAAAGTCCGGTTCGCAAGAACCTCTTTTTGTTAGAAATTCCAGGTCAAAATACTTTTCAACTAAGTCAAGAAACTATATTTCTTAAAAATAGGTTTATTAATCCTAACACAATACGCGTCTTTTTATAAGTGACAATAAGAGGGATCGATTAGGGATAAACTCGGTTCTGATTACGCGAAAGCGACAGTTCCCGTTAGATTAGTTCTTTTCATGAGTAGAAAACATTACCCCATAAGGCATCCTATATCTACACATTTGGAATAATATGTAGTTGTGTGAATTGCATTTATGCCTGTTGTTTTATTATTGAATTTATTTACCGCATTTATTTTCGCACTTTACTTTTGTTTCGCACAACTCAACCTTTTATTTGACTTGCCTTAGATAAACACCGTAACACTAGAGAGCGATAGATTGATGTTTGGTCTCTGTGGGATCGATAATCTTTTATATTACTCTGACGCTATCAGTGCACTTGCGAATCGCCCATCAATGAACCTTCTATAAAAGCCAGTATTCCCTAAGAAGCTCCTTATTCCTTTGACGTTGACAGGTGGAGGCAACTTCTCAATGACTTCAATCTTTTCTTGATCTAATTTCAATCCTCTTTTATATATTTTATGACCTAACGTTATTCCTTCCTTTATCATAAACTGACCCTTTTCCCATTTTAAGACCAGATTTCTCTCTTCACACTTAGCTAGAACCTTGTCAAGATTACCCAAACATTGACTAAATGACTCTCCAAAGACTGAAAAATCATCCATGAATACTTCGATGAAATTTTCTATCAATTATGAAAAGATAGCCATCATACAACTTTGGAAGGTAGCTGGTGCGTGGCACAGACCAAAAAGCATTCTTCTAAAGGCAAAAGTTCCATAAGGGCACGTGAAAATGGTTTTTTCTTGATCTTCCAGATGACTTAGAAAGCAATAATACTCTTTTCCAGCTAATTGATCCAACATTTGGTTAATAAAAGGCAATGCGAATTGGTCCTTCCTTGTGGCTTTGTTTAATTTTCTATAATTCATACAAATTCTCCACCCAGTTATAGTTCTTGTTGGAATAAGCTCATCCTTCCCAGTGGTGACCACAGTCATGCCTCCTTTCTTCAGGAGACATTGAATACGACTTACCCACATGTTGTCAAAGATAGGGTGAATAATCCCAGTGTCTAACCACTTGATGATTTCCTTTTTGACCACTTTCTTCATGATAGGATTAAATCTTCTTTGACATTCAATCCTATTTTTAGAATTTTCCTCCAACAGAATTTTGTGCATACAAACAGTAGGGTTGATTCCCTTGATGTCGGACAGCTGCCAGAAAATATCTCTTTTGTGTTTTTTGAGAAGTGTCAGGTGTTGACACCTCTGTTCTTCAGATAAATCTGTATCTATAATGACAAGAAACTTCTATTCTGTCTCCAAGTATGCATATTGCAAATGAGGAGGCAATTGTTTGAGCTCTAGTTCAGATGGAACATCTATTGATGGCTTGCATTGATCTTTCATCTCTTCTGTAAGCTCTAGTATTTCCAATGTTTCTTCTTTATCTATTGATTTGCACAAAAGTCCAATCATGATTCCTTCATTCAAACGTCCATCTTCCTTTAGTTTTCCTAATTCTTGCTCCAAAATATTATTTAATTTGAGGAGACTCTTGTGAATAATGGTCTCCCAACTAGAAATCATTGAACATTCAGACACATCCTCCTTTGGATATTGCAAAGCATTCAACACATTGAACACTACTTATTGTCCATTAACTCGCATTGTTAGCTCTCATTTCTCCACGTCAATTAATCTCCTTCTGGTGGCAGGGAATGATCTTCCTAACATAATAGAAGTATCCTCATCAGCGTTGAAGTCAATAATGATGAAATCAACAGGAAACACAAATTTATCAACCCTCACTAGTACATCTTTAATTTTTCCTTCTGGATAACAGATGCTTCTGTCAGCCAATTGAAGTGTAATGGTTGTTGGTCTAGCACCACCTATACCAAGCTTCTTAAAGATAGTTAATGGCATCAAATTTATACTTGCGCCAAGGTCGCATGGAGCCCTCCCATAAAATGACTCTCCAATGTTGCATGGAATTGTAAAACCACCAGGTTCCTTTAGCTTCGGTATAAGTGTTCCTTGTACAAGTTGACTACATTCTTGTGTTAGAGCAACAATAGCAAATTCACCCACTCTCTTTCTTTTGGTGAGTACATCGTTCATGAATTTAAAATAGTTTGGCATTTGTTGTATGGTTTCAATCAAAAGAATATTGGTGAGCACATCATTCATGAATTTAGAGTAGTTTGGAATTTGCTTTCATCCATTAACTATCTCATGACTTGGAGAGAATTATTGGTTAAGGGCAAAGCACCCTAAGGAGGAAAATACCCCATAACTCTTTGTGGTTGTCCTAGTTGGCCAAAGCTTTCCATGGCGGACACTGAAGCCAAATACCACTAATTTTTTTGTTTGCAAGACTAATTTAGAGTTATAAAAGAAATAAGTAATCAATGTTCGTCTCTATGACATTGCTAATGAGTCTTTTGCTCTAAGTTAAAAGATGCCATAAAAGAGTCTTGTTAGAAAGATTTTAATTAAGATCTATGCTGAAGTGGTTCGACTTGAAGGTTAGTGTCATTGAGGAGGTACAAGATGATTCCATGATAAAAGTTGATGAATTGATTGAAACTTTGCTCGTGTTTGAAATGACTATTGATGATAAACCCGAGAATAAGAGAAAATGGGTAGCGTTTAAAGCCAATACGATTGATCTTGGAGAGTAGGTATCCAATGACCCTGATGAAAATATTTTTGAATCTATTGTTATGCTTGCAAGTAATTTCTGTATGGTTATGTAAAGACTTTATAGAATCCCTAATTTTGTTACATATGTATATAGATTCTGTCACAAAATGTGTTTATAATTTCTCTCTAAAAAAACTACATATCAAAATAAAAATTGTGTAAAATTTTAAAAAAGTTATATTTCAAAAAACATGATTTTTTCCCTTCAGTTGGAAGTTTGAACTTTCAATAAGGTTTATACGATCATTTGTTGTTGAGGATCGAACACATAACAAGTTGAACTTTTCTCCTCAAATAAAAGTTTAACATAGAGAAAAAATGATGCACTTTTCATGATATATTTTGTTACTTTGCTCATCAAATTAAAATAAAACCCGTTTTACAATTAAAATAAAATCTCTTATTCGTAGTAGTGCTATAAAGGAGACGCATATTCAACAATAAATGTTTCTCCTAAACCAATATTTAAATGATATTTTTCAATAAAACTTCAAATCAAACATCATCTAGTTATAAGTAGTCAACATCTAAAACAAGGACAAACTTGATATACATATAATTACATCTGATTCAAACAAAAATAAATTTAAATACTCATTAATATGACACCTTTACAAAATTTAGATGTAAATATATGAAATTGAGCTTTAATAATGATTCTCAACCTTCTTCAAACAGATGTATACAAATTAAGAGGTACAAATACATTATAATTTAATAAGAACATAACAAGAGGAAACAATACAAGCAAAGCAGGCTACTAGTTATTTTATTCTTAGAAAATATATAAAAGTAAGAAAAACATCAATAAGGTCGTTGTCCATCAACATTGCCAGGTGGTGAATAGCTACAAATCACAAAAACCCAACCATTCTTACATTTGGACTTACCACAGCCAAGATAAACAGAATCACGCCAAACAATTTGAGTATAATGCAAACACTCATCATGAACACAAGAGTTTGAGTGGTAGTCATAATCAGGCTTTTCAGTTATCCAAAACTTCACTGCATCAGAACCATTCATTTCACCATAACCCTCAGCAAGATTCTCACCAAAAGGTCCCATGGAGTGCTCAAGCTCACAATCATTGATTCTCTTGTTTGCATAGTTTTGTGCATAGGCTTCAAGGGTATGGTTCCAATGGAGTGGACCAACACCAACCTCTTCTCGAGCTTGGTTGTGTACTTCAAGGAAGTCTTGAGGGGTGTTTTGTGCTAGGGAGGAAATGAAGAAAACGGCTAAGATTATATTATATGAAGACCTCATTGTTGAAATTTGGATGTTTTTGAAGAGTGAAGGAATGTATGTTAGGGTACTTATAGCAAGAGTTGGAGCATATCAAGCCGTAAGAACCGAAGGATTTATAATATTTAACTTTTACACACTTTATTATTCACCTTAATTTTCTAGATTACCATTTTTAATATATCGAAATAAAGTCCACTAACACTAAGCATGACCACATTATATGTATCTACGTGAATTCCCCTAAATCTGTTTTAGTATTTGACCATATGTGTGTGTTTATTCTAATATAGAAAAAGAGAAAGATGATATAAAAAAGGAAAATCTAATATATATATATATATATATATATATATATATATATATATATATATATATATATATATATATATATATATATATATATATATATATATTTTCTTATATATGTGAGTCATCATGATGTTAGTGTATTAAATAGATCCATGCAAGAATTTCATTTGCTTCAGAGCCTCCAAGAATCAAAAGAAAGTTGGAGAAAACTTTGACTACCATTTTTGAATTTGTTTTAATCCCAATTTGAGCCAATCACGATTTATACCTATTTCTATGGCTTTCAAAAGAGCAGAAAAATTTTGCATAGACAGAGGAGCCAAAAAGTAAATTTTCTGCAAAAAGTTAACATCTCGAAGCTTGTGTAGCATGATTGTATGTGAAATTTTGTTTTTCAAGAAACAGATGTTTGAAACAACAAGAAATATTGGTTTAAGATAGATTACAATTTTCGAGGACAGATGTTTGACACTATGTCAGAGACATTATAAACAAGAAACAAATGAAAATTAATTGCAACCAAGATATGACAGGTTGATTTTTTTTACAAGATGATGAAGCAGAAAAACAAAAAAAAAAAACACGAGATTGGTAACTCAGTTAAGTGAAATCACACATATGTTTAGGAAACTCTACCCAAAAAAGAAAATCTACTGTTTCGAATTAGTACCCTTAATCTTATAAGAACCACCAAATTCAAATTGCCCGAATACTAATAAATCAACTTCTAGTTACTATGTATTTTTTAGTGACAACTTACTCTCCTGGTCCTCCAAATACAAACCACAATATCCCACTTTTGTGTTGAGGTCGAATATCGTGGTGTTGCAAATGTGGTGGCTGAATCTTGTTGTGTGTGTAATATGTTTTAGAGTTGCATGGTCCGATTCACAAAGCTATCATAATATATTGTAATAACGTCTGTGCAATATCTATCTAGTAATTCAATTCAACATTAACGAACCAAACATGTCAAGATGGATATTCACTTGATTCGAAAAAAAAATAGCATGTAGTCGGGTTTGCATTCTTCATTTTCCTCCACATCATCAAATTGTAGACATATTTACAAAAGTTTTTCCTTTGTACTCTTTCAAAATTTTCAAAAATAGTCTCAATTTAGAATAACCTCGTGTTAAGATAGAAGGTGTGAAAAAATATATTATTATTATTATTATTATTATGATTTGTGCAATTATTATTATTATTATTATTATTATTATTATTATTATTATTATTATTATTATTACATGGGAAGTTGCGCTTTCCAAATCTTCTCTCAAGTGGTCCTTGCTGATAAATCTGTCAAATTCACATCTCAAATCTCTAAATTTGATTTTGTTTTGATAAAAAGTTTTTAGGCTTCTGATTCCTCCTTCTAAACCTAGGATTGTTAAGGAGGTGATTCGGTGTCCTCATCTCACTAATTGGATCAAAGGAAACTCTGGTGGAGCTTCCATCGATAATTTTGCTGTTGCTGGTGGTATTTTTTTGTAATAGCTCAGGAATTCAAATAGGTAGCTTCTCTTGCTTTCTCAGTCAGGGAGACTCTCTTTTTTTTTGCTGAGATCATGGGTGTGATTCTATCTATTAAGCATGTCATTGCTTCCCATTGGAAATGCTTTTTCCTGGATACAGACTCCATGTTATTAATCATTTTATATCTAACCCCAATTTGGTGTCTTTGAGTAATAGAAACTGTTGGTACAATTATCTCCTAGCAACTAGATCTATTTCGTTTTTGGCCACCCACATTTATCGTGAGGGCAATCACTGTGCAGATATTTTAGCTAGCTTAGGCCTAACATTTAGGAAGTTTACTTGGTGAAATAATCTCCACTCAAATGTAATTAATGATTATACAAGGTGTAACACTCCAAATTTATTGAAATATTTATTTAATTTATCTAAATATGAATATTCGTATTTTTGGTGATTTTCGGTGGTTGGTGTGAATATTGAGAATTATAGATTTTGAGTTATTTATTTAAATAATAGTATATAATAGGAATATATTTGTATTATTATTAATTTAAATAAATATAAGTGAATTGAGGGCAAAGTGGACATTTAAGGAGGAATTAGTGAGAGTGAAATTCGAAAGCCCATTTTAAAGGCTCAAAGTTAGGTTTAACAAAAAGGAATTTTGAGGGAATTAGGATTCATTCTTGTTAGACCGTGAAAATGGAAGAAATAAAGGTTAGAGCTCTGAGGGAAGAGGATTGAGGCAAAACTTTGTGAGGTTTCCAAGAATCAAGGAGAAAGGCTTAGAGTCGGCAGTTAAGGTATGGGGAGTATTCCCTTCATTGTTTTCAATATATGATTCAATGTATTTAAAGCCGATTTAAGAATTTAGAAGGTTTTTGAGTTTGAGGAAATTAGACCTTCGTGGTCAAATCTGTTTTTGAGGTTGTTTAAGTATGGGGAGTATTACCTTCATTGTTTTCAATATATGATTCAATGTATTTAAAGCCGATTTAAGGATTTAGGAAGTTTTTGAGTTTGAGGAAATTAGGTCTTCGTGGCCAAATCTGTTTTTGAGGTTGTTTAAGTATGGGGAGTATTACCTTCATTATTTTCAATATGTGATTCAATGTGTTTAAATTCGATTTAAGGGTTTAGGAATTTTGAGTATTGAATTGTTGTTGCCTTTCTGGTGAGTTTAATGAGTTTCAGGGATTTGAACTGATGGTCTGATAGGTTTGAGGCTAATTTGAGAGTAAGGGAAATTAGGCCTTCGTGGCCAAAATCTGTTGTCGAGGTTTTACCGTATAGGGTAATTGATTATGAGAACTCTAATGAATGTGGGAAAATTGTAAGGATTTTATGGGAATTGGATGCGTAAATATGATACGGGATTGGCCTAATAAGTCGTAGATTTTGTGCCTTTATCACCGTAATACCTTAAGAATGATTTGGGGATGTTTTGGGGCATTGGGGAAGGAAATCGTAGGGACTTTTGGGTTGGTTTTGTTACTGGTGTGTAACAGCGGTTTGCTGTAATCGCGAGTTCGCACAGCGAACAATTCTTCGCACGGTGAACACCAGCCCCAAACTCGCACGGCAAACTGTCCAGCGAACGTAGCACAGTTTCGCGAATTGTGTTCTTGTGCAGTGATGTCTTGATGCTTTGATGTTGTGATTTTCTGAATGAATTACCTTGAGTATGACGGTGATTCATATGTGATTAATACATGATTGTATGATGATTCTTATGAGTAATGATGATGAGTTATGATGTTGATTCCATGAGTTTTTGATGATTATATGATGACATGATTATTATGATGATTTTGATGAATGATGATTCATATAATAAGTTTATTATGAGGATGATATTGACGTGTGTATCATGCATTCATATGAATTTCGGACTTCGGTCTAGTGTTTGATTCTTGTGGCTTTAGTCCCATTGTGGTGATGTGAAGTATTTTGTTGTGCTCTGGTTCTTGTGTAGAATCGATCCTATTAATGAGGATCTATGGAGGGTTGATGACCCAATGTCCATCGAATTTTGATGAATTGGTATCACATGCATGAGTCTTGTTGCATTTGCATTTATGTGACAATTTAGTGTAATTTATGATATTATGGCTTTTTGATGTTTCCTTGATAATTATGATGATGTTGGATATGAAAATGACGTTATTTTATATATTGATTCCTATATTGATTATTATGAATCGTTTTACTCACCTTGCCTGTTTGAATGTTACCTCCACGCGGGTAACGTGCAGATGGCCAAGTTTAGCCGTGGATGTCGTTGAGGACTTTTTGGAGTTTTTGACATTTTGGTTGAATTAGAGAGTCTTGCTCTGATAGTATAATATTGGGTTGGGGTCTTTGAGTTAAACCATGTTTTTTTATTTTTGTTATTTTGATTATGTTGTTGTGCAAGGAAAACTTTGGATTTTCCTTTTTGAGTTCCGCTGCCATTTGAGCGATTTTTGAGTAATTTTGGAAAAACCCGTTATTTACGGAGCATTAACTTTGATTTGAATTATTGAGAAATGTACGCCCTTTGAGGTGATTTTTATTATGTTTAAAATATTACTCTAATAAATTTGAATGATTTGCCATTATATTTTGGGGGTAGAAAATAGTGTTACATCATCATCGATATAAGTATTATTGAGTTTGTATATTTATTAAGCAAAATAAGTCAATAATCAACTATTTCTTTAACTTTTATGATTCATGATTAATATGATTTATTTTTATTCATCTGCGTCTGTGCGGACACGCACATGCATATGATCAAATGACACCAAGGTGTCAAATTTAGTAACATAACATCTCTGATAACTTTTCATCCTATGTCCAAATAACAAAACCCATTGTTTGATTGAAAGTTTTTATCATATAGTTCACGCCTATAAAGTTTCACATCAATAAAAAATTATTTAATATGTTAAGAAAAAAAGATAAAAATAAACTGTTTTCATGATGTTTTGTAAGACATTAGTTTTTATGTATCTCGTTGACATGTCAAATAATTTCCGTTTGATATTAAATTTTATAGACTTGATACATATGATAATGGTTTTTAATCTAACAGAGGATTTTGTTACAAGAATATGCGGTAAAGAGTTATGGGAGGTGTCATTTTTACTAAGATGATTTTATTATATGATCATACCTGATCAGAAAGGAGTCAGTAGCATGCCACGCGTCGTGAGTTGCTGTCTTCACCGGTGTTGTAGAGTAAA